AATGCATTCATTTTTTGTTATTCTTCTTTATAAATGAGATACAGAGACATACATCTACCCCCTTAAGTCGAGGGGTAGAAATTATTACAGACAGAATTATCATAAACTAAAATTTAAAAGTAATGATTATTGTATGAATTAAAATTGTATAAAAAAAACTGACTGTTTTTATATTTTTGAGTTACCTTAGAGTAAGATCACCAATTAAAGATATTATTTCTGAGGATATGATGTATTATATCGATTCGTTTAAATATTGTCCCAAAACAATTTATTATCTATTTAACTCCACAATTTTTATTTTTTAAGTCGAATATAAAGCCAAAATAATATTGCAGAATATTATACGTCAAATCCTTCTAACCTATAATTTTTGCGATAAGTGATTTTACCCTAAGATTACTCAAAAATCACATAAAAACGATATATTTGAATGAGTTTTATCTGTGTTCCACTTGGATCTGGAAGAGAAAACAAACATTGCGCGCGCTGGCATTCTCTTATCGACGATAATTATAATAAGAGTTACGGCTTATTACGTTTTTTATAACAATATATATAACTCTCCTGGACATTAAGATTCGGTCTTATATAGGCGGGCTGTGAATTGTAGCAAATTCATAAAAACATCATTTATTAAAATATATAATAGCCGGTTGAAAATTAAAATTGTTTGATTAAAGACCAATTCGAAGTTTTCAGTTTTTAATCTTTTCGTGACAGGATTTCTATTTTTATACAAAAAAAAATATATATTTTAGAAGTAAAAAGGAAATTTGTTGCTGTACGAGAAAAAATATTTACGAGTACAAAATATAGTTTTTTTGATAATTTAACACATCCATTAGAGGCTACAATGAACTTTGTTCAATTACAAGGTACGCTCAAAACCAAATATAGATATACGTATCAATTATTACCTATACAGCAGAGTGAGCTTCCTTTTTATTTTATAATTTTAAATTCGTTTTGTAGTCTGCAGTATACAGAATGTAGGCTATATGTCATATTATGCACTTTAGTGCAGAGATAAGTAACTCAAACTGTCTGAAAGTTTCTAAAGGGTCATAGTTTTCAAACTTCAAAGTTATATTTTCGTATAAAAATTAATAAAATATAAATTTTAATTCGTAGCTCGACAAAAATAAAAAGGGTCATCCGGAGTGTTCTGTATTCACAGCGGACCTATGCGATTGTATATTTCTATGTGGGTACAAGTACCTACTTAGATCACGACGAAATTATTAAAAACAAATTTTTTCCTCGTCAATATTTCATCAGGCATAATATGAATAAATTAATTTTTCTTTACTTTAACATTTTCATCGGAACTAATCTTTAATTATTGCACGTCTATTTTTTGTTCGTTATAGGTCGTGATTCAATAATACTATTAATACTATATTATGTATTTCGTAGGCAGGTATACATACATAATATTCTATAATATACAAACCGGAAGATTTAGTCTCCCGTAATCATATACGACGAATAACGAATCATACGAACGTTTGAAATGGATTTAAAAAATTAAAATAATAATAATATTGTACAGCTGTAGTAAACAAGAACAGCCTGGTACTGGAACCGTTTTAATTTAAATACAACTGCGGTAAAACATTTTAAAGAATATTGGGGGAAAAAAAAACCATTTACCCCCCCCCCCCCGACTGCAGAGTACAGGCGCGTAATTATTTTAGTTATATATAGTACCTAAACATACACATACGTATAGGTACTCAAAACAATTAATTACGACGTGTAATCATATGATTTATAAACGCGTTTGTACATATTATATATATTACATTGAATTGCTTTTTAAACTGGCTCCAGCCCTCGGGACGAAAAATGGAAATAAAAAACTATTTAATATAAATAATCACGTAAAGTGAAATATTCTGTTCTGCAGGTCATTTGTTATTGTACGGCAATCTCGAGATTATAGTTCTACACAAAGTATAATATATTTAAATCATGTCCGATTTCGTATACATATTACGTATATAAAACTACAATGGAAATATATATATACCTGACACCTGTTGCTGTAGAGTTGGGAAAATAACAATAATAATAATTACAAAACATAAAATTAATTTTTTTTTTCGATGTCCGTACACAGGCTTATATTGAATATACCAATATAATATGCAATTCAGATATAGTTCTGCAGGTGGTAGAAACATTTCGGCTGCAAATGGTTTGTCAGCGAAACGCTACGTGCGACATAAATAATAATTATATACATTTTAATATTTTATTATTAATGATGGTTGTTATTGGTTATTATTGAATTTATAATTATAATTATAATTATATTATGTCCGATCCGTGCATTCAAAGGCACTGTGGGAAGATATCAACCTGGAAAATGATGAGAATGGACGAGGAACCTAGACTTGGTACTGTAAAGTGACACCTGTCACCTACAACGATAAAAAACCTCAAAATATTATTGAATTATTAAAGAACTGTGGTTTCTATTTGTGTCTACATTTATATGTTGTTATTTATTTTAAGTTTGATCATTGCTGTGTCTTATTCACGCACATTTTATACACGCATTATATCTTTTATCGTTTATTGTAAATTAATTATAACTATAAATAACTGTATTTAGGGGAATTGTTGGTCCCGCTTAAAGAACCTTTGAACGCCATACGAAATAATAACAATAAAATTGTATTGCGTCATAGTCGAGTCAGTATGGGCACGAAGTATTATTGACATAGATATAAAAGTAAACGTCTATAATATATGGACAACAACTTGTGAAGTTTAGATATATGTACAAATAATTTTTAGTTTTTAGACCATCGAATAAAAATTTATCGAAAATAAGTGTTGTATATACAAACTTGATTCAAATGGTATCAAAGATTGTACTTAGCATATAATTATTATTTGTATTATTTTAGACGTTGGTATACATTAATGAATACCTCACCTAGAAGCCAACTATTTTTAACATAGATATGTTTTCGGGGTTAAGTATAATTTTTTCCAACCGATTTTCAAAGCTCTTTGCTTGTTGCTCGAGTCAACAATAATAATAGTAATAAAAAATTTGATTAAATATAAATGTAGCATACCACTATGGATATTTTTTCACTGCATTATACCCACTGAAATACACTGTACTGCACTGCTCTGCACTATTAGATATATTTCCTCGATTTTTCTTGTGCTACATTTTTTTATTGTATATTATGAGAGGGCGAGGGAAGAGAATGTTTGAATGTCGCATTTTTTACCATTATATAGTTAATATTTGATAGAATATTTTAGTGTTTAAATCATTTTTTCCCAAGATACCTAATCATTTATTCGTTTACATAATTATTATTTACAAGTATCAATAATTGGTATCTTTCATTATTTCAAGCACTAAACTCTATTACGAATTTATATTATGCATACCATTAATTGTCGGTGCACACTTTTAGAGAATTTGCCCCCTATATTGCAGCTAATTTGTGCGTGAACAGTGCATGCACATTTCATGGTTTTTTTTTTTTTTAATAGTGCATTTAATTCACAGTGTCCCGAGTAATGGTTCTCCGAAACAGAAATATTATTCAAAAAAACGTTGAATAGAAAACAATTACTGACGGGAAAAATCTCTCTGCATATTATAATGTGAATGGACGAAAACAAAAAAAAATAAATAAAAAAAACCCAAAAGCGATTGATAATAAAAATAACAAAAATAAAATAATGGAAAACTATGGGAAATAATTTATGGCCTACACTCGTACACTTTTATAATACGACTCATACGTATGCATGTATAGATTCGACGGAGACGACGCGTTACGACACGATAGAACTAACCGGCGGCGGCTAACCAGCTATTTTTCACTAGTCACAATTTTATGTACACACACACTTGATCCAGCCTGTGTGTGTGTGTGTGTGTTGTCTGCTCCGGTAATTTATGGATTCGCCCGGATGCGAGCCAACACACACGCGTAATTACAAAACATTCTCGTCCGTTGCCAATGAATCATTTCTCGGGCGGTGTACCACCGTCACCTACCTACATATAACACCGCGGGACGACCCTCCGCGTTTATTGTAAATAATTGTTATTATTATATTAATAAAACGAAACATCATACGGTTTATTCGTAATATAAAACAATAACAATCGACGATTATAATAATAATAATTATTGTGCACATAATATACGAGCAATGCTGTACTCGCGAATCATCAGTCGTTCGCGTGCCGGCCGCAACTGTGTCACAAAAACGCTTATAAATTATAATATTGTAGCTGTAGTATTACTTCCCATGTGGAAGAATAATAATATACAACATACTAGCCAGGTACCTGTATTATTATGATTATTATTGTAATGTTTCGTAGTCGGCGGCTGTTATTTATTTTTGTTGTTTATTACAGTGTCCGTTTGCGAGACAGACCGCCGAGAGCGATAAAACGATTAAAAATGACGTCTTGTTTATAATTTCGCAAAAAACCATGACGATCGAATTGTTATTTGCGCAATACCTGACTTGCGCTCGTAGCGATTTTTCACACTTGAAACAAATCATGGTCTATGCACCACTATAATGTATATATAGGTATGCACTACTACGAACGTTCGCGAACGCTGTGCGAATTAGGATATTTTTTTTGTTTTTGTTTGTTTTTGAAGAGGACATGATAACTTCGATGATGATTTTTACCCCGAGCATTAACTATATTAAAAGCTAAAATTAAATATTAACATAATTAATTATGTACTTATTGATTTATAAACATGTTTGGAAAATTTACAATTTCCTGCAAAGATAATTATCATACGGATTGAAAAATGTAAACATTGCTAAATACATTGTTAGAGGGGTGCAGTGAAGGGTGTTGTTTAGGATGTTGTTGGCTTCGACAGAGTCGGCAGAGTATTGATCACTATATAATGCTAAATCGTTAGTATTACTTGCTGCATGTATCACAATACTGATGCTGATTTTTTACTGATGAGGTAAGCATGAGCTGGATGGGTCAATGGGTGTGGCCTATTGTTGCTCGAGTGATGATTACTTCCTCTCTTCTCTTAGTGATGGGAAAGGGTAATAGTATTTCACGGATAAAAGATATGTTATTTTTCAAGATTTATTATTTTGAAGCGTTTATTAGATTTCTAGCTCCAGAGCCACGAGTGCATTGATTTAACAATTATATGAGTTTTTTAAAAATTTTATTTCTGAAGATATTACTTTTTCTAGAAGAAAAAATAATCTGATCATCAACTTCGATTGAGGTTTTTACTTTCTAACGATAACATTTTTATTAAAATATCTATACTAATTAATATAAAAAACCAAAAAGTTATTAAATTGCGTTCAGACTAATCATCTTCAATTTTTTTTTATAGCTGTCGATAATTTTTTTTTGTTCGGTCAAGAAGCTTAAAAATATGATACAGGCGGATTTCTGATTGACAGATAGTTAATGGTAAAATTAAAAAAAAAAGTTGACTGTAAAAATCGCACACATGCTTTTTGTGAGCATTTTTATTAAGTTTACGAGTGAGAGTTGACAAAATTTAACAATGACAGGCCACCTTCACTCAGAATCGTTTTTCGTTTACCCACGTAATAACTTGATTAATTTTTGAATTTAAATTTAACTTATATATAGTACAGCGACTTTATCAATTAAGAAGTACACTTGACCACTACTTACACATCCTGTTATTTACATTTTTTAAACATATTCATGGCTGCACACACTTTTTCTGGTTCACAAAGACATCTGATAATCAACTTGGATAGAAGTTCCCGGTATACACTATGATTCATAGTTAGTACTTTCGAGAGGTCAAAATTGAAAATTCTCAGTATTTTTCAAAATAATCGGGGAGAAACATACGAATATTTATTAAACTATTAATAATATTGTTAAAATAATTGATCGATAAGAAGATTAACCTAACCTAACCTTAGTTATCAAAAAGCTACACTGCTTTGATATCTGCTTATCTAAGCTATTCGCTCGGAAGAATCGTTTTCCATCTTATTTAATGATTTATCATTGAATTAAAATTTAACACATTTCTGCAGTGCCACTCAATGTTGAGGTACACTCGATCCTCAATAATAGAGCAGAGCTTTGCTTTCCCCCTTTTTTCTAATTAATTTTTCTAAAATGATTTTTATACATTTTACACTCGTGTATATATTATAATGTTCATACTATACATGAATGGGCGTTCAGATTATTTCAACTAATTGGACGAGCAAATTTCCCGGTCATTATAGTTATTTTTTCTTTCAGACTTTCGATCTCAATTCGTTGACAATACGTTTGTCCAAAATGTGTAGGTACACTGAACATCAATATGAAATTTCTCCTTTCGTTTCTAAGCCTTTTAAATTATATTGAAGTCGATAATTTCTGCAGACTTGGTAAAATAAATTGTTGTATAATGTTAAGTTACACGTTGATTTGTTTTTTTAAATTTTTTACTCGTAATTAATTGTATTGAATTATAATTATATTTATATACTACAGGTGAATATTTTCACTGCATCACTATGGGGGCGGTATATGTATATTATTTTGCCAAATATATATATTTATTAGTGATTTTTCAAACAGCCGGTCCGGTTTGGACGTATAAAGTAGACTTTTAATTTACTGCTGTTATGTACACAATTTGTTTGTTTGTACGGAAACGAGCTTTAATAATTTATTTTGCCGGATCTCACATTACTCGTTTCTATCATATGCACACAAACAAATAAATTCAACAATGTTCATAAGTATACAATACTCGGGTAAAAGGTGCATCTGTTTGTCGAACAAAGTTGCCGTCGAGTAGTCTGCAGTGTACTCAACCCGAAACAAAATTTTGAACGAGTTTGATATAAGAATCGGCTCCGAACAAAATTTGCTCCGTGCGACAACGTTCCGATAATTGTCGAGAAGGTTTCAATGATATAACTGCTGCGTATCATATTTTGCCCAAAATAATGACGTATTAAACAGTGTACAAAACTCGATTTGTTTGCATGGAAACGGCCGGCCTCATAAGTAGAGTTAGGGTGTTGATTATCTAAAAAAACACACAAAAATGCCATAAAAAAAGTGCAAAAATGCTCTTAAAACTTCAAAAAATGACCTTAAAAATTATCTAAAATACTAATTAAGTAAGTGAAAAAACTTATTTATAAATAATAATTTTTATTAGAGATATGGGTATAATAATGGGTGTAATAGTAATTTAAAATATGAATTAAAAATATATTAAGCATTTAAATAATTCAATATATAACATTCAAAGAGTAAATCTTATCGGAACGCGATAAATGTAATCACAACAAAAACCCCACAATAATAATATTAAAATTTTTTTTTACTAATAGTCCAAATCCAAAGTTAGATTTTAAATAAATTAAATTTGTTTCCAAACTTGGGTGTAACATTTGCCCTAAAATCTATAATTTATGAAAAATGCCCCACATTGCATATAAAAAGTACAAAAAATGCCCTAATAGATGAAAAAATGACTCAAAAATGTTGAAAAATGACGTTAAAAAACAAAAAAAAATGCATTTATAGCTGAAAATGCAAAAAATGCAAAAAAATGCAAAATAAAATTAGAATATTCTGCATCAAGGGAGCACGAAACAAATTTTTAGCTAGGATAGCATTGAACAGAATAAAAGATAAACATGCAAAAGTCATCAACATCCTAACTCTATACTCATAAAGTCATAAGTCTCAATAATAATAATAATATTATAGGTACCTCTATATATGTGTATATATTCTTATAATCGCCTGTTAAATTAATAATAATTGTTCTGCTGCAATTTGTATGCGTATCGTGATCTAATTTAGAAGGTATATGTATCCGAAAACCAAACCGGAAACGTAACGTAATCCTTGGTAATCGATCTTATAATATTATACATTAATATACAATACGGTCTGCAGGGAGTACATATATACGCGTGCATATATTATTATTATCCGATATCGTTTTACGCGCGAAACGAATGCATTTTGTGAAAATAATTATACGTGGATATTATGATGTATAGGTTAATATGTATGATATACAATATCATAATAATCAGGGTACTAAATTCGCGGGTTTATCCTTAGTCCTTACCATGCAAATGGGGAATTGATTCCGGTCAAAATTTGTTTTCGTGGTAAAACATTGTCGGCCGTGAGTCGTGTCAACGTGTCCAGAAAATGTGAGTCAATGATTTGAGGACAAATATAGTCGACATATGTCTCGAAAACAATAATACATCACAATGGGACCTGCTGCAGTGTTCATGGGAAGATAACCACCACATTTTATGTAGACGAGGCAATTTTGTTTGAAATGCCTTCTTTTTTTTAACTTTTAACATCACCCGATTTTTGGATTTAAGACTTCCCAAAATGTAAGTCCCATAAGCTTAAAGTATTCCACTGTCCGGAACTTTATCAAAATGTAATACAAATAGATTCGATGGACTGCAATATATACCTATGCGTCTATAGTCTATATTAAATATTTTGGAATAAAACTAGTCTGAATGCAATTTTGCAGCTGATTTTGCTTTATGCCAATTTCAAACTATACTTTTTTGCAGTACAAAAACATTAAAAACACACAAATCATGTAATCTAAGAGTTAACCACAAATTAAATCACCTCAATTGTTGAACTAAAAAATAAACCATTAATTCGACCAGCATTGATATTTTTTGGTCTACAAAAAAATCACACTTTTTCATACGGACGCCTATGTAAACCTCATCATATAATAAATATTATCGTTTGGGCGAATTAAAATCGAAGCGTTACACTTGTTATCATTTCTATTAAACATCGCCATCGAGCACAATGTATATTTGTGTACGTCTATAGCGGTACTTCACTCGTACTTGTCTACTGCACACAATTCAAAGGGTTCACGGTTGCCACGCGGTTTGTAAATCGAAATCAAATAAATATAAATAGTGTTCACATCGAGTTATTCGAGTGAAGCGTATTCTCGGAGAGTGAACATTTCTGTATTTTATGTGCAATATAAATAATAAATATATATACATTTATACCTAAGTGTGTGTATATACATACATAATATGTACGTACAAATATGTGTCTGTCGGCGGGCCGTCACGACGAGACGATGATGAGCTTCGTTTGGAAAGCTGGCGTGCGGCGAATCAAATTTGCCGGCGGAGTACGTCACTTGCCCGCGCCAGTGGTGGCAGTTTTCGTGCGATTGTTATACTGTGTTTTATTTTTAATGATATTCATTTACACTTCAATATTGTTGCCGACAGCGGCTGCACCTCCCCCCCCCCCACCACCGTATACACGCCGGGTGATTAATTTATCGTGAATCATCAGATGTTCATCTGTCTCGGGAAATCCTATTGGCTTTTCAAACTATATTGTCTGTTTTTTCTTACCAGAATAATAGTGTAATAATTTATTGCTTAGCATTTTTCTACGATCATTTTTCTTAAAATAGAAGAGAAAAATATTCTTTGAATTTTTCTAAACATTGTTGTCGCCGGATCCATGATGGTAATGATAATGATAATGACGATAAAGTCTTTATTTTTGACATAATATTATGATATAATATCATATTATGATAAAATATATTAGAACACGTATACAGCATAAAGCTAAGCGGCGAAACCCAACCAAAAAGCCGAGCTTGCAAACGGTTGGGAATATTGGAATGAGTCCAAATCCAGTAATGAAAAATATCAACACGATAAACAGAAAACAATTTTAATGTACTTCTATTGAACGGTGTTAATAAATAGTAAAATTAAAATTAACGGAAAAAAAAACAAATACCGTCCGTGACATATTATGATTATAATATTATGTGTATCGAAGAAAGTGAAAACGTTGCACTCGAAACGCACACGAAAAATCTGCGGGGCACCACCTACATATAATATTATTGTCCTATTTACGTCTATATAGTTGTACATATTGTTGGAAAATCGTAAATTTAACACAATACCGCGAGGGTGCGGATGTCCGGGAACCCGCGTGAGACGCATCGACGTGTGTGCTGTAATGCGCGGCTTCTATATAA